AACAAAGAAAGCATGTTATGCTAATACACATATTTGTCATTCCTGGTCATTTTCAATCTTTTTTGAAGATCTGATTTTTAATCTGGTATTTCAGTATAGCCTGAATAACTTCTTTCAGCATTTCTAGTAGTACAGATGTGCTGGCAACACATTCTTTAGTTTTTGTTGATTTAAAAATGTCATTATTACACCTTTATTCTTGAAGAATATTTTCACTGATTAACAGGCTTTTTTTTCTTGCAGTACTTTAAAGAGTTTCACTGAATCCTGGATTTAAATTTTAGTTTTAATGGGAAATAAGTTATAATTCATATTGTTGTTGACATCTATATAATGTGTAATTCTTCTCTGGCTGCTTTCAAGATTTCCTCTTTCTCCTTGGTCTTCAGCAATTTGACCATTATGTACAGTAAGTTCTCACTTAATGTTGTCAATACGTTCTTAGAAATTGTGACTTTAATGAGACGATGTATAAAGAAACCATTTTTTTTCTCATCAACAGAACAAAGTTGAACAAAATGATCTTCTTCGAGGACTTGCTGTAGGGCTTTCACTTAAAGTCTCAGTTTCCAAGAATTTATGAAGACGTTAAGTGAGGAATTACTGTATGTAATAATTTTAGGTGTAGTTTTCTTTATATTTATCTTACTTAGGATTAATGAGCTTCTTAAACATGCAAATGTGTTTCTTTCACATATGAAAGACTTTTGACATTGTCCCACACACTGTGTTTTAATTTTTAAAAATATTTTTCTGTGTGTTCTTGAGATTAGATAGTACCTTTTTAATAGTAGATAGTAGATAGTACCTAACTCTTTTTAAATCCAGTTCAGGTTATAGACTCATCCAGTATATTTTTCACTGAATATTTTATTTTTGAGATTATCTTGGCTATTTTTGTTTCTATTGCTGATTGATGTTCTATTCCCTAACTCTTTGTGAATACACTTTCCTTTATATCCTTGAGCGTAATTATAATAGCTACTTTTAAATCCTGGCATTCTATTAGCTGGATTATCTCAGTATTAGTCTCTATTGATTGCTTGTTCTCTTGAGCATGAGTCACATTTCCTAGTTCCTCCTATGCATATTAATTTAAGACTGCATCTGAATATTATGAATGATACATTGTATAAACTCTGGATTCTGTTATATTCCTCCAGAACATTGATTTTGAAAGACAGCAGCAAACTTAGCTGAAGTCAAACTCCAAATTCTGTTCCCCTGTGGTGTGTGTGTGGTAACAGTAGTGTGGGAATTGGGATGGGGCATGGGGAGTTGGGAGGTGTATGTGAAGCAGCTGAAATTTCTGCTCAGTACTTTTAGCTTGAGCTGGGATGTCTGGCATTGGTTCCATGGGTACATTGTTTAGTTATCAAGGACAGGTTTAGGCAGCGTGCATAGACACACACACACACACACACACACACACAACTCTGATTTTCCCCTTTGTTGAATTTTTTCTTTACTTTCCAGTGCTATGGTTCCCCAGAGCTCTCTCCTCTGGTCTTCAGGCCCATAAGACTGTGGGTTTTTACCTACATTCTAGCCAGCCAGCTTGCTGCTGATTGGGAACAGCCCTGAGAAAAATAGCCACAAAAACTGGAAAACTCACTCAATGTTCTTTCCTTATTCCAAACGTTCATCTCCCTCCAGTTTCTGCCTGGTTTTGATTGCTCCCCATTGTCTTTAAGTAGATGATTTTTATATTTTTGCCAGAGTTTACAGATATTATCAGTAGAAGGGTTGGTCTGATTACTCTAGCATTAGTAGAAATGTATCCCCAAGATGTGGTTGCAGCAATAGTGACTTCCATTCACATGGTAACCACACTTGGAAAATATGAGTGACAATTAGAAACAACATATATGATCAGGAATCATGGGTGGGTACATGAGTGTGTACATGTGCTGCAGAGGCCAAGACCACTGACGACTCCACTAAAGAACGTTTACGTCTAAAAGCTGAAAATATAAAACTCATTAAGTGTACACTTTATAGTGAAGGAGGTTGTGAAACAGAAATGAGATGAGGGCAGGAGTCAATAAATTTAGTAGACATTGCCCCTTGAGGGTAGAGAGCAAGTTTTAGGCATGAGGGAGTGCGTTGAGACACCTCCAAAGTTTCTCATATGTTGTTTTGCTTAGGGCCACAAGCCAAGATACAGTTTGTCCAGACTCAAGCCAAAGCATAATAAAAAGCTTTTTGCTGTGAACATATAGCTGCCTTAAGTCCTTGCATTGCCCCTGGATGCAGAAGTCCAGGGGTGGTCAAACAGAATAGAGAGGGGACAAAATAAACCTTTTTTTGTGGTCCCATGGTAGGGTCAGTGCATCATTAAACATAAGCTTGAACAATCTGATATTTTACATATTCTGGAGGTGCAATTATTCATAATCCTAGTTCACAGACTCACAATATATTGTTCCTCTCTGGTACATACTGACCTAGAAGGAAACTAGATGGACAACAATGCTAGAAGAGATCACTTATCCTAACACCTTCGTTTCTGAGAGGAAACTGAGGCCCAGAGAGATGAAGCAACTCATCAAGGTCTCACAGCTACTTAGTAGGAGAAACAGGACTCAAATTCAGGGCTTATGACCCTGACTCCAGTACACTGAACCTTACTGATTCACCGGGACTTTGTAAAACTATACTTCCTGGAATAGAGTTTATATTGAGTGATAGATGCCTTTCTTTTACATATAACTGCAAAAGAAATCAAGACTCTTATTTACAAAAGAGCAATGCTTGATAACTCACTGCAAATCATTTTACAGTTTGCCAGCTGGTATCTGTGAAAAGCTGTGCTACCATGCCACTGGTCATTAGCTATTTCAGTAAATGTATTATTTGCCATACTTTGTAAAAATAGGTTCCAAATTCAAGTTATTGCATATTTTTGTTTATTATTCAGGTCTAGGAACCCACTTATCTAAAGCAGACATCATACTCACCTTCTAAATAAAAGATCTGTTTTGGTAAATAACATTTCTATTGGCAGCAAGCCACCAGTCTCAATATTTGTAAAGAAATCTTTAGTTGCTTATTTTTAAGTTGAAGTGGCTTTTTCAAGATTTTAAAGGAAGTTTTCCTATTTCTTAGAGTAAAGATACACAAATCATTTGAGGATCTAAAAAGCATCCTTCAAATAACGTTAGATTGCTTGCATTACCTGCTAGCTTAGAAGTTTCCTGAAGGAAAGAACTATTCCTTTTCCATTATTATTTCTTCAGTACTGGGTATAGCTCCTGTTACATAATAACCACCTAATAGGCATTTGTTGAGTGACTCATGGATGGACAAATGAGGAGGCTCTTTCTTTCAGGTGACTCCATTGTAGCAAAGCACCATAAAATTGAATTTCTCCATTTTCAGGCAGCAGTTTTGGTCCTTGGTATAAAGCCATACAAAAGTTTCAGACACAATTTATCAGGACACCTGCTGTTTCCTCCCTTACCTCAACCTCAACTATAAAATCCCCATTTTCTTGGGGAAACATTCACATAACGTGATAATGGCCAGTAGCAGAATCTATTTGAAAAGCAAACTGTAGAGTACTACATGAGCTCAGCCTTTGTTCGTTTCTTTCTTTACTTTATCTCTATGCTCTTATATGCACAAAACATACCAGAGATCTTCAGGTAGAAAGCTCTTCACAATATTTTATTTGCCTCAGAAATCACAATGATGTAGACTTTTTGAAAAGAGAAAGCATGACTTTTTTTAGATATCAGCGCAATGGCATCTTGGTATTCCAGGGTGTATGACATGCCTATTAAACAGTGGGTGCTTATTAAATATTAGTCAAAATGAGATAGTAAACAGATACATCAATAAATATGTTCTACTTTGAGTAAATCTGACCTTTTTTTTTTTTCTTTTTTTTGATACAGAGTCTTGCTCTGTGCCCAGGCCAGAGTGCAGTGGCACAGTCATGGCTTACTGTAACCTGTGCCTCCCAGGTTCTAGTGATTCTTTTGTCTCAGCCTCCTGACTAGCTGGGACTATAGGCATGCACCAACACAGCCAGCTAATTTTTGTATTTTAGTAGAAATGGGGTTTCACCATGTTGGACAGGCTGGTCTCGAACTCTTGACCTCAGACAATCCACCTGCCTTGCCCTGCCGAAGTGCTAGGATTACCGGTGTCAGCCATCATGCCCAGCCAGTGTTTATTAAATATTAGTCAAAATGAGATAGTAAACAAATACGTCAATAGGTATGTTCTACTTTGAGTAAACCCGACATTTGTTTCTTAAAACATAATCTCAGTTCACAATCAGTTAGAGAATCCCATCTACTGCAGAAAATTAGGTCCATCTGCAGCAGCTTTAAAATAAAAGACACTTGAGGCTACTTTTTTCCATGGACTTAAAGTTACAATTTTAGAAACAAACAAAATAGTTTCCCATTTGTTCTAGGACAGGTTTCTCCTGATTTTGCATCTTTTCACAAGCATCTCTTGTCTTGTCAAATGAATGTGGGCCACAAAAAAGCCCATAGATTTTTAAAGGCAGCATAATGGATACATCTTCCTAGAACCTTACAAAACCACTATGCTGAGCTCCTGTGAAATACTATACCGGTTCTTGAGCTTAAACTAAACAATAGAGATCTTCAGTCAACGCCCAGGAAGGAAGGGTCTTAGAGCACTGAGGAGAAAAATGAATTGGTAAGCAGTTTCACATGATATTGTCAGCTTCTTCAGCGTAGCCAAAATTGGTAACCTTAAAGAACAGGTTAAGACCCTGGTTTTTTTTTTTTCTTTTTTTTTTTTTTGAGAAAGAGTCTCACTCTGTCACCCAGGCTGGAGTGTGGTGGTGCAATCATGAATCACTGTAATCTCTGCATCACAGGCTCAAGTGATTCTCCAAGCTCAACCTCCTGCGTAGCTGGGACTACAGGTGTGTACCACCATGCCTGGCTAATTTTTTTTAATTTTTTATAGAGGTGAGGCTTCACTGTGTTGCCCAGGTTGATCTCAAATTCCCATGCTCAAGCAATCCTCCCACCTTGGCCTCCCAAATTGCTGGGATTCTAAGCATAAGCCACCACGCCCGGCCCAGGTAAGCACTTTGGATATGAGTAGGGTTGTTTTGTTGTTGCTTTTGCCCTTTACTTGGTCAACATCTAATAATAGAGAACAGTGTTTCCATATATCAAATGTAGGGCTGTTTTCAATGTAGTAGCTGACTCTAATATTTAAAATCCGGATAGGATTCTAATTTCCTGCTTGAGTTTGCCCACAGTGCATAAGTGGATGCAGTAGTGCAAAAATGATTTCATTTTAGAAGCCAAGCTCTCATTTCTTTTGGAACCTAGTCAGTGATGATGGAAGAGTTAACCAAGCTTCTTTAGAGAGTGTTCCATTTATTAGCTTCATTAATAACAATAACAGGCAAAAACCCATCCTAGCTGAAGGAAGAATGCCCCTACAGGATGTAAATACACGACTGAGAATGTTCATCAATTACATTTCTTGTTGGATTTGAGACTGAACAGAAATCTAAATTATTACTCATTACATTTCTGTTTTTCCTATTGGTATTCCTAATAGGAAACGCTAGCCTTGCCAAGGTGTCTTTGAGAATTCTAATGTACAGGCTGATTTTCATTTTGCTAACTGGAAGAGCACTCTGAATAGCACACCAAGAAATATATCTTTCACTTGTTCCACTTCTCCCCCTTGTCCCCTCTTCCTTGACCTCTGTCTCAGTCTCCTCCAGGCCTTCAGCAGGCCTCTGCACGAATTCGATTTGGTTTCCTGGCCTTCAGAATCTCCTCACTCTAATTATCACATCCTCTACTGACAAGTATTCATCTCTCTACTCAAAAACACATCAGTGACCACCAAATACAGTTCTGCTTTGCCTGACATGCAAGGCCATTTACAATTTGGTTCCAATCTGTCCTCTCAGCCTTCTCTTACCTTCAGCTAACCCAAGGTCCCATCTGACCTGAGTGCTAGTTATGATCCCCCTTCCCCAGCTCTCTATGCCTGTAGTCATGCTGATACCTCTGCTCTAGGGAAACTAGCTGCCAACTTCTACATGTCTCAATGCTAACTTCAAGTTGGAAGTCGTTTTTTCTGTGTTCTCCATTCCCAAAGCATTGTGGTTGGAGGGCTCCTAAGCTCCTTTTTTTTTTTCACATTTTGTGTTATGTTTATTTCAATAAAATATTAACTTCTCCCCCATCCCTTCCTCAGACTTCAAACCCTTTGAGATTAGAGGATGAGTCACATTCCCGTATAAATTCAAGCACAGGGCCTCTCACATAACAGGTACTTAGTGTGTTTGAATATGTGAATGAATGAATGACAAAATGAGTGAACGAAAATTATCTCTTCTATATCACACTATTTTCCCACTTCATTCCTACCCCAACAATATGACAGGAACATGAGCCATTTAAGCAGCTTAATTATCTGATCCAATATGTGGGCTCTGAAGATCAGAGTGAGTCTACATAGAACAGCTGAGGTGTCAAAACACATTAAAACTAATAATGCAAAAATAACCAGGTGTAATCTAAGCTGAGTGTTTTCTCTGGTACCTCTTCACTAACATTCAATTTAGAACTGTGTTCTATAATTATTGTATCTGTTTAAAGTCCCTATTTTCTGCTTATTCTTAACTAGATACAATACGTACAGCTTTCAGAGATTGAAAATATTAGTGTAGAGAACTAATGCTTTTATTTTAATTGATTAAACATAATCAAAGTACATATTAATTGACACTAGTTTCTATCAAGTATTCAGTACTTGAAAATGCTGAATCCTCGGTTTGAGACCCGTAATTCTGACTGCACACAGAGAGTGGAGAATGTGGAACACAGTTTTTCCACTGGGTGACAGGAGGGAGATCGATCCTCCAGGACTTCTATCAGCAACACCTTGTTGTGGGTACTGTGGGTGATACGAAGAAGTTCTAACAAATAGAATGTGTGGAAGTGGTGCTCAGAGACCTTCAAGTATCATAGAAAGGGGAACTTCCTCCAGATGCTGCCTTGGGTCATTGACTCTGTAGGAAGCCAGTGAACACAACACCAGTACGTTCAAAATCTCCGGGAGAGGCCCACAAGGAGACAAAGGCCTCTCACTAACAAGCCAGGAGTGTGAGTGATCTGCCTTTTCTCTCTTCTTCTACTTAGCTTTTTAAATATACACATCGCTCTCTTCTTGGTGCATAGCTATTCAGATTTTGACAAAACCATATAGCCAGGTTGCCACCACCATGATCAAAGTATAATTTCCATTGTACTTCCAATACCTCACTATCATCAGTCTCTCCTGCCAGCCCTAATGTCTGGCAATCACTAATCTATTACCCAGAATGGAATGAGCTGGCTTTAGGAGTAGACCCTCCTCGTTCAAGCTTTCAGATGACAGCAGCCCTGGTTGACGTCTCTGCTACAACATTATGAAGAACCTATTTTCTTCAAGACAGAATCAATGAGCCAAGTCACTCCCAAATCCCCTCACGGAAACTGTGAGAGATAAGAAGTGTCATTTGTTGTTGTAAGCCACTAAGTTTGGAGGTAATTATTGCACAGCAATAGTTGCATTGGTTACCTTATAAAACTGTTTTTTTAAATTATTATTGCTATTGACATTTACCTAGAGTGCCTTTCCTTTCATTGGTCTTGGAGCAGATCCACAGCCTGAGTGCCCGTGCACAGGTAACTTGGGTACCTGAAGGTAGAAGAGTGTCACCACATTGAAATGACAAAGCTGTCCACTGCCCGAGATGTGGATAAAGGCCACGTCAAGGTTAAGTGGAAGAAAATACAAGGCAGTTAATCCTCTGTCACTTGAAAGCTCACAGCAGACATAATTCAAAACATAAAGCCCTAGCTGGGCATGGTGGTGGACACCTGTAATCCTAGCTACTGAGGAGGCTGAAGGAGGAGAATCACTTGAACCTAAGAGGCGGAGGTTGCAGTGAGCTGAGATTGCACTGCTGCACTCTAGCCTGGGTGACAGAGCAAGACTCTGTCCATCCCCCAGCCCCCCCCAAAAAAAACACAAAACAAAAAATGTAAAGCCCTCTCAATCACCAGGTTCTGCTTATCTTGAGCCAAATCTGCTCCTCTATCTCACATACTACTTTCATGATTTGAAGTTCTAGATAAGCTGCCTGCATCCTCTTGCAATCCACCCCCATTTCCACACACAGAGGCAGCGGCTGCATTACAGGGGGAGCTACTGTACATTCTAGGGGCCTCTCCAGCAGTATGTCTTCTCTTTCTAGAACTTTGCCTCTCTCACCCAGGCCCCCATGAATAGTGACTATGGTTCTTTGCATCTCTATATTCACTCCAGTAGAGATGGAGTCATGAAGATGGGAGAATGTCCTTTGTTAAAGGTACATAATGCGTGTCGCAAATAATCCATTCCCAGAAAACTCAGAGTTGGCTGTACTTATTCTATAATTGAGTTCAAAGCAAGTTTTCTACACAAAAAACATTTAAGTCTCACAAACTCAACTGTTTTAAACAAAAGAGTTAAATAGTCAGGCTTCTGGGTGGTCAATGATGAATCACCAGAAACTGTGACACCCTCAGTGAGGAGCCGTGGGGTCTAGCCCTGACTTAAAAGGGAACAGTCACTTCATGTTTCTCAGCCTCAGCATCATTCTCTGTAAAAAGAAAGGATATAATTCAATGATATTGACTGTCCTTTCCAGCACGACTCAGCTTATGGTTCTTGAAAACATTATTAAAATTTTTAATGAATTCTTTTGTTCTGTGTCTTCAGATGAGAATTACAATAGAATAGTCTCATTTCCTTTGCAACAATAAAATAACTGTGCATTTTTCCATCCTAAAGTATTTAAAAGAATAAATGATAAAGGTCTGCAAAATGAATATTCTATCTTAACCTAGCCATAATTTTATAATTTACATTGCCACTGTTTCTAAGTAAGAAACTGCCTTCTATATGTGTTTTATACTAGCAAGAATAATTTAATCTATAAAGAAAACCTATAAAGTACTTTCTGAGCATTGAACTTTATAATTCCGTCACTCAGTAACTTCCTTTGTTTTCTACATTAGATTACATATACAGGAAGATAAGACTTTTTTCTTATTAATTTAAAACTTGGAAGTAGAGACAGGTATCATCTGTTTTTCTGGAACAAATAACACTAAAGTTGAGTCAGTAATCAAGTTATACATATTCATAACCATCTAGGCCAACTTCATTTATAATTCTTTGTTAATCTACAAAAATAATTTTATTTTTAAAAATTTGATTTGCTACTTGAAGCAAAGGCAAGAATAACACCATTTCACAGGGTTCCCAATGATTCGTGTGAAAATTTAAAAAATACAAAAGGAGGAAATGATTTGCACCATTAAAGTGTATACTAATAACAAGTAGAAAGTTATGTGTAAGTCACAGGAATCAAGGTCAATGAACAAAATTCAATTTCATTTTCTATATATCAGCAACACATAAAAATAAAACACATAAAATAAAATTTCAAAAATACAATACAATGTATACTAGGATTAAACACAACAAAATTTAGTTGACTTTCAAACAACACAAGTTTGAACTGCAAGGGTCTATTTATACACACATTTTTTTCAATCGATATATCGGAAAAATATTTGGAGATTTGTGACAATATGAGAAAACAGATGAACCATGAAGCCTAGAAATATAAAAAAATTAATAAAAAGTTAGGTATGTCATGAATGCCTAAAATATATGGAGATACTAGTCTATTTTATCATTCACTATTATAAAATATACAAAAATCTATTATTAAAAGTTGAAAGTTATCAGAATTTTCACACATATACACAGACTGCATGCATGGCACCATCTGTAGTCAAGAGAAATGTAAAGAAATGTAAAGATGCAGTATTAAATCGTAGCTGCATAAAGTTATTGTAGTAAACACTATCTTGCAATAATTTCTTTTTTTTTTTTTTTTTTGAGACAGAATCTAGCTCTGTCACCAGGCTGGAGTGCAATGGCACAATCTGGGCTCACTGCAAGCTCTGCCTCCCGGGTTCACACCATTCTCCTGCCTCAGCCTCCCGAGTAGCTGGGACTACAGGCACCCGCCACCACGACCGGCTAATCTTTTGTATTTTTGGTAGAGATGGGGTTTCACCACGTTAGCCAAGATGGTCTCAATCTCCTGACCTCGTGATCCATCTGCCTCGGCCTCCCAAAGTGTTGGGATAACAGACGTGAGCCACCGCGCCTGGCCCTGTCCTGCAATAATTCCATAACCATCTCCTGTTGCAATGAGCGCAAGTATTGTGAGGATTCACTTACAATGCCATGTGATGCTAATCATCTCCACGTGAGCAGTTTGTCTCCCAAGTAAATTGTGTATTGCAGTAAAAAGTGATCTCTCGAGGTTCTCATGTATTTTTCATCATGTATTTTTCATCACGGGGAAGTCATGACTACAAGTGTGAGTTGAATTGTTTGATATGTACTATGGATGGAGATCTTCAGATTGGTTGCCTGCCACCTCAAGATAAATGAATCCAGCATAAGCTCCGTTGTTTAAAAAAAATGAGCAACAACAACAACAAACAAAAAAACGAGAAAAAGAAACCTATGAAGTTGTTGCTATAGCTACATCAGCAGGCATAAAAACCTTGCACTTTATGAGAAATACTTTTGGCCTCGTATTGAAAATGCAGCTTTTATGTGGGTGCAGTATTGCTATAAGAAAGTATACCTAATATGATTTGAGAAAAAGTGAATTCATTGTACGACAACTTAAAGCAAAAGGAAGGTGAAGGATCTAAAGTTGGAGAAGTTAACGTTGGCAAAGGAAGGTTCGATAATAGGAGTAGCAGCTTCTGCCAACAAAGAAGCATCAGAAGAGCTCCCAGACATCAAGAAAATTAGTGAGGAGTGGCTGGGCGCAGTGGCTCATGCCGGCAATCCCAGCACTTTGGGAGGTCGAGACAGGCAGATCACTTGAGGTCAGGATTGGAGACCAGCCTGACTGACATTGAGAAAGCCCATCTCTACTAAAAACACAAAAATTAGCCAGGTGTGGTGGCACGCACCTGTAGTCCCATCTACTCCAGAGGCTGAGGCAGGAGAATTGCTTGAACCCAGGAGGCGGAGGTTGCAGTGAGCCAAGATGGTGCCACTGCACTCCAGCTTGGGTGACAGAGCGAGACTTTGTCTCAAAAAAGAAGAAAGAGAAAGAAAAAAAGAAAATCATCCTCCTGAATGGGCTTTTAATGCAGAAAAAATTGCCCTATTCTAGGGAAAAAAATGCCACTAAGGACACTTACTAGTAAGGAAGGGAGGCAAGCACCAGGATTTAAGGCAGGAAGGGATAGGCTAACTCCACTGTTTCGTGCAAATGCAGTCAGGTTTATGATCAGCACTGCCCTTATGTGTAAAGCTGCTACCCACCTTTCCCACCAGCTTTGAAGGGAAAATATAAACACCAGCTGACAGTCTTCTGGTTGTACAAGAAGTCCTGGACAACAACAACCGTTTTTCTGGATTGGCTCCATCAATGCTTTGTCTCTGAAATCAGGAAGTACCTTGCCAGTAAGGAACTGCCTTTTAAGGTGGTTTTATTTATTTATTTATTTATTTATTTATTTATTTATTTATTTTGATATCAGACAATGCCCTTGACTACCCGGAACCCATAAATTCAACACTGAAGGTGTCAAAGTTGTTTATCCCCAACTAAACACAATGTATATAATTCAGCCCCTAGGTCGGGGGGTCAGGAAACTTAAGGCTCATTACACACAGTACTCTATGGACAGGACTGTGGACACTAAGGAAGAGAACTCTGATAGAGAAAACATTGTAAAAACTTGGACTCTAAGGCCTAACATAACAGACACTACACCAGAGGAATTAACAGAAGACAACTTGATGGAAGTGAGTGCATCTGAGCCAGTGCCAGATGATGAGGAAGAAAACATAGAAGAAGCAGTGCCAGAAAACAAGTTGGTGTTAGACAATTGTGCAGAAGGGGTCTAATGATTCAAGACTGCTTTTTCACTTCTTTTATGACACATGCCCTAATATGACACAGATACTGAAATAAAAGCAAGCAACAGAAGGACTGATACTGTAGAGAAACATTTTTAGAGAAATGAAAAAGCAAAAAGTCAGCGAAATGATGATGTATTTCATAAAGTTACACCGAGAGTGCCTGACTCTCTGCCTCTCCTTCCACCTTCTCTGCCTCTTTTGCCTCTGCCACCCCTGAGAAACAGAACCAACCCCTCCTCTTCATCCTACTCTACCTACTCAACGTGAAGATGATGAGCTCTTCCACTTAACAAATAGTAAATATATCTTCTCTTCCTGATGATTTTCTTAATAACATTTTATTTATGTTACTTTATTGTAAAAGTACAGTATAAAATATGTTTAACCCACAAAATATGTTTTAACCAACTATGTTATTGGTAAGGCTTCCAGTCAACAGTAGGCTATTAGTAGTTAAGTTTTTGAGGAGTCAAAAGTTATTTGCAGATTTTCAACCATGTAGGGGGTTGGTGCCCCTGATCCTTGTGTTGTTCAAGAGTCAGTTGTACTTGGCGATACATTTAACAAATGATGTGCAAAACTTTTACACTGAAAACTACAAAAAATTGCCTATACAACTTAAACATAAATGAATACAGACATAGAGGATGTTCACAGATTGGAAGACTCAATACTTTGAAGAATTTAAATAAATTATTCACAAATTGGTCTATAAACTGAATTCAATCCCATTCAACATTCCAACAAAGCTTCTATGCAAGATTGATTCTAAAATTTATGTAGACATTTAAAGGACTTAGAACAGCCAAATAATCTTGAGAAAGAAGAAGAAAGTTGGAGAACTTGCACTACCTCATTTCGAGACTTCTATAATGCTGAAAAATCATTACAGTGTGGTGCTGCTATAAAGACAAAGAGATACATGGAACAGAACAAATTGTCCAGATATAGACTCACACAATCAATAGATGTTCAATAAAGGTCCTTCAAGGCAATTCAATGAGGAAAAATAAATATTTTCTGCAACTTTCTGTAACGACTGTGTAAATATATGAAAATAAAATAAATTTTAACCTTTACTTCATACTGTACACAAAAATTAATTTCAGATGCATCATAATCCTACATGTAAAAGTTAAAACTATGAAATTTGTAGAAGAAAACATACAAGAATATCTTGGTACAGGCAAAGATTTTTTTTAGGTAAGACACAAAAAACAATGATTATAAAAAATAAAAAAGTTAAGTTAGCCTCCCAAAATTTAAAAATGCCTGCTCATCGAAAGACTTAAGAAAATTAATAGCCAAGTCACAAACTAAGAGAAAATAATCATGATGCATATATCCAACAAAGAATGTGAATCCATAGTATGTGAAAACCTTCTATCTCATCTCATTAATAAAAGGTTAAAAAACCAAATTTTTAAAAATAGATAAAAGACATAAACACTTCACAAAGAAAGATACACAAATGACCAATAAGCACATTTAAAAAATACTTGACGGCTGGGTGTGGTGGCTCAGGCCTGTAATCCCAGCACTTTGGGAGGCCAAGGTGGGCGAATCATGAGTTCAAGAGATCAAGACCATCCTGACCAACATGGTGAAACCCCGTCTCTACTAAAAATACAAAAATTAGCTGGGTGTGGTGGCATGCACCTGTAGTCCCAGCTACTTGGGAAGCTGAGGTAGGAGAATCTCTTGAACCCAGGAGGCAGAGGTTGCAGTGAGCTGAGATCGTGCCCCTGCACTCCAGCCTGGCAACAGAGCAAGACTCTGTCTCAAAAAAAAAAAAAAAAGAAAAAGAAAAAAAAAAGTACTTGACATCATTAGTCAATATGGAAATACAAATTAAAGGCATCATGAAACACCCTCATATACACACTAGAATGTCTAAAATTTAAAAGACTGACAAGAACAGATGTTGGTGAGGCTATGGAATTTTTATATGTTGGCTTTTTGAAGTGCAAAATAATGCAACTATTTTAGATTTTGGCAGTTTCTTATATAGTTAAAAATACATGCAACTTATGACCCAGCAATCCTATGCCTATTTACCAAGAGAAGTAAAACATACATTGACAAAAAAAAGTCTTGTGCAGTAATGTTCATGAAAGCTTTATCTAAAATAGCACCAAAATAATCCAAAGGTCATCAATGAACAGAGTGGATAGACAAATTATGGTAGTTTTGTCTATAGTATACTACTACTCAGCAATAAAAACGGTACTCCTTTGCTTTATATGCTATAAATGGATAAATTTCATAAACAATGTGAGATCCACAATAAGCCAGACACACAAGAAATATGCATTTTATGATTCCACTTATATGGAGTTTTAGAACCAGCAAGACTAATTTATGATGAAAAAGTGAGAAAAATGGTTCTCTAGAATGGAGGGTTGGAGTTGACATGGAAATTTTCCCATGATGGAAAAGTTATGTATCTTAATAGGTCTGTGGGCTACACAGGTGTTTGCACTGTCGAAACTCATAGAACTGTAACACATAATATCTCTGCATTTCACTATCATAAAATATGCATCATTTAAAAAAATTAAAACAAAATTAGAAACAGTTTCTTATAAAAATATTAAATCAGAATCCTTCTAGAAATGAAAATGACTGCCATGTTAAGAATGTAAGATTTCAGGTGATTTTGTTTTAGGGCATTCTCTGTTCATTCATTCAGTCATTCAGCAACTATTGAGTAACTATTATGTGTCTGTCACTATTCTAGGTGTTTTGAACATATAAATGAGCAAACCAGACATAGATGCCTGCTTCTAAGTTGCTAATAACCTATAAAGTGAGTAGAGAGAAAGATAATACAAAAAACATAAATAAGTAAACAAGGTAGTGTTTAAAAATGTGAGAAGTGCTATGAGAGAAATAGAAAAAGCCTACCATCCAGTAACATTGCTATATCATACTTCAGCTGCCTGCTACCATTTTATTAAAGTCATGGGTATGCCTATATTTATGGATTAGCATTTTTGCCTTTATTAATTGATTGATCGTACAATAGAAGCATTCCAGGAATAGATGGGGGTGTGTGTGGCATGTGTGTGTGTGTTTCAAAGTGCTGGGTTATCATAGTTGCTTTATTCTTAAGCTTTTGCAATATTTAATGCTTGAATAAATATCTATCAGGATATCACCTGGAGCGTGTGGAAAGGTTGGTTTCAAGGGCATTGTGCTCAATGCTAATCGCATTCCATGGGCTACTGAGTCACAGTCACATTGAGTTATCGAGTCAAAGAGCAGCCTTTTTGTCTTCTGTATGAAAGACAAGCTGCTCAAATGTAACAGAATTCAGACACCCAAGTCATTAAGATATAGTTGTACATAAAAGATGCAGCACTGATAATTCAAAATAGACAGGAAGAATGTGCTCTAGGAATAATTTTTCTTCAAGTCATAATATCTGGCACCAAATATAAATAAAGCCCTGTTTTTCTCCTTCAGTGCCCTGCCGGGAAGGAGTCAGTGAGACAACTTGTTATCTGCCAGTAACACAGGCATTGCAGGTAGGCCTTCAGCTATGGAGAGACCCTGCCTATTTTCTTTAACAAGACATAGACTGAAAACATGAAATCCTCCATCAAAAAGCAGTAGTACCATTGACTCAAAAGCTTCTGCAATGAGATTCTCCAACATACTGAAATATGAAGCCCCAAGTTGCTTTTCTGTAGCGAGAACACATACACAAAAATAAAGTGTTTTTAATGTTTGCTCTTTTTTTGTTGTTTTTAATCAGGTCTTTTGGAAAAAATCAATCTCTAATCAAGCTCTATATATGTAGCTATGGATCTCCAACCTTAAATCTATGCTGCAGTGTAAGATTCTTCCGTGATGACTTCTTAACTGTCTTTAGCTTGTTTCCTGACCTTTGCCTATGCATATGTGATTCTGCTCATACGGAATGCCTTCTCACCTTCTAAAATGCCACCTACTTTTCTAGTTCCCAATCAAGTATACTCCCTTGGTGAGATCTTCTGCAACCAACATATTGAGACGTTACCTGTCCCTCCTCTCAACTCATTGTAGCATGACCTTATATATTACTTGTTTTGTCTAGAAATGTTACAAGTCATTTTCTGTTATAATTATCCCCCTTGCAGGTTCACAGTCAGATTAGGGTAATTAGAATTGTAGGCTCTATATCCAGAACCCCATTTAAACCCAGGTTGCCTTCTCCACATTGATTTGTAAATGTTGTCTACAGCTTACAGGCATTATGAATGACCTGCCCACAAAAGCTCATCAAACTTATACCAAATCTGAAGTATAGTACCAATAGCACCCCTTGCAGAATTATTTTTATTTTTCTGAGAAAAATGTATTTTCTCAGAAAATTATAGTATATAATTTTGCTGTACTTCTATGCAGCCAACATCAAGCTGATCAAAAGTATGTAGGTGATCAAAAATGCTTAAATGGTTGCTAGTGATAAAATATTCTATTTAGTCCCACAGATTGGTGGATGGATTCCTAAGGAATCCACAGAATTAATCCTCAGGCTATGTTTTCCAAATTCAGCAGCTTCTGTGAAACCTGACACGAGCTTCAAATGATGCATGGTTTCTAGTTGTCAAGAAAATCCCATCGGGGGCAGGGGCACGGTGCAGAGGAGTCAGGTGTTGACTACAGACTACATAGTGCCACACAGCACCGTCTTACCGTGATTGTCTGGAGATTTTATTAAACGGGCTTGGGCTTGCTTTAAGTCATTAAATTGAGTCAATTTTGTTGCTTTGTTTTGGCTAAATTTATAAAAGTCCAAAAGTTTAAGATAAGATAATACTATTTGGCCTTTTTAGCATCTTTTTTTATTATTATTTTTATTTTTGAGACAGAGTCTCACTCTGTTGCCCAGGCCAGAGGGGCAATGGCACAATCTTGGCTCGCTGCAACTTCTGCCTCCCGGGTTCAAGCGATTCTCCTGCCTCAGCCTCCCAAGTAGCTGGGATAATAGGTGTGTGCCACCACACCCGGCTAATTTTTGTATTTTTAGTAGACATGGGGTTTCACCATATTGGCCAGGCTGGTCTTGAACTCCTGACCTCAAGCAATCCACCCACCTCAGCCTCTGATTTAGCACCTTTTTTTTTTTTTTAACACTACTACTCTACGAAAGCATTCAGTAAAGAAGGCAGTTAAAGATAAAGCAGAAGGAAAATAATCCAGTTCATGATTGTGCCTTTGGTTTGAAAAGCGGTCAATAAAAATATGGAAATAAACACTTTGAAACAAAGGAGATTATAAAAATTAAACTAAAGTAAGTCTTCTGCTCATTTCCTTTCTTGTCCATTTCCTTTGGGTGAGCCTCACTTTTTCCTTAATAATTAAAGCAAGAAGAAGAATCATTCCAATTTGTGAAAGCCCCCTCTTTTCTCTGAAAGCCCAGTTTTGTGGCAGAAGTGAGAAGAGCTGCCCTTACCTCTCAGTTCCCCCATATCCAGGGTTGTCCCCAGTTGTTCTAATAAAGCAACTCTTGCCGCATTCTTTTTGTGTTTCTTGCCATCATAATGTTGCTGGGCCATCAGAGGGTTATTAAACCAGGCTGCACAGAGCCCACAGTATCTGTCTGAATCTCTTCTTTGATAGGGAGATGCGACCACCGGAGCAGTGTCCATCCGTGGGGGCTTAAGTGGGCTCAGGGGTGTTGCTGTGAAAGGAAACAACCAGAGAACCACAGCCACGTTAGTACAACACTGAGTCCACTCTTCCCCGGTACCTGAAGACCAAAAGTCTCCTGTTCACTCTAGAGCTTAAACATCCCCAAGACTTCATTGACAGCAGGAAAATTAGCCCTGCTAGCTTTCATTTTTGAGTTGGGACACAAAAATTCTTAATGTATTGAGATCAGAGTTTGCATATTATTCCCACTGTGGCTATCAGGAGCTATGGACAATAGCTCTAAGTATTTGGCTGCCTGGAGTAGCTTTGTAAACATGATTATTGAAGGCCTTTCCCACTCACTTTTAAAATGCATTCTGCTCTAACACGGGCATTTAGAGGAAAAAAAATGTAGTAAAATACAGGGAACAAGCTCAATGAGCCAGGTAAAACTTGAGCAATAACTTAATTTTTCTAGCATCACTAATAAAGCAATAAGTCTATTGTAATTGCCTTCAATTATTTTTGCATGTGTGTAACACTAAAAATAAATATTGGATAAAATGCAACTAAATAAATAAATTCTTAGAGGTAAGGGAGTGATCTATCAGTCAAAATAAAGCTAATACTTGAAGTAAACATTGGACAATCATGACTTAAAAGATTCTGAATGAATGAATGGGACGTTTGTGTGATATAAATGTAATTAATCGATAAATAAAGGATTTGGCTAAGTGGTAGAAACTGATCTTTTGGTGATGTGGGTTGTATTAATTGAGGAAGTCATGCTAATTTTATTGTCAGCTGCTTCGGTTTATTGTAATAGGCTATTTTCAACCTGTACCTGCTAACATTGATGCTGAAATAACAATGTTTTTCTAAAAACCAAAAGAAAATTTCTATAGATAGGTGTACTTATCTAAGCATAATAGACATGTATCACTATTTTGAGATTGCATTGTTCCACCTATTAAATTAACATTTTATTGTGAGTTTAGGATTATTTGTGGTCCAGAAAACAAACAAACAAACAAAACGAGTCTAACTTGAAGGAGCTTACTAATGGAAAGTAAAAATAACTTTTCTATGCATTACAACATACAAGTTGCTTCCATCCTTAGAAGGACTATGACTTGGGTTTTTATCCCATTTCTCAGATGACAGATTTCAGAAATGCCAGTGTCTTACTGAAGGTGAGATGTCTACTGATGGGAAAAACAGGACTCAAACGAAATCTGGAATTTCCAAAGCCAATGTTCCCTTCAATACCCTCCGAACGATCCTTTTCATACTTCTTAATAAGCAAAGCAAATAAGCATTTGGTTATTAGATCCATCATCTTTCTATTTCATATAAGATTTCATTAAAGTTTGGAAAAAATATTCTGATCCAAATATTTTGGAGAAGAAATCAACGTGTAAATTATCACATGGGCCATTAGTCCTAACACAGTATAGCAGAATCCTGTGTGTGTTCTTGGTCTCTGAGATGTGGGATGCAGCTGGCAAAACCATGAGCATTAGGGTTGTCGTTCCAAGGAAAAGTTGAGGTCTGAGACCTCAGTAATAAGTTAAGGAACCAATTAACCAACTCCCCAAGCTTTCAAGTAACTTTTAGGTGGACTTTTATTTTTTTTTACTAAATAACTTAATATAGAAACAAATACTTGTTAAATGACATTTTAATTCAAGTAATGCCTGTATCATAACAGTATTTCTAAGAAGCTCTTTTTTCTTTATCCAGAAATTTCATCATATCAAGAAGTTTTAGCTAGTTTAGATTAAACTCAATGGTGTTATTTCTATAGGGACTCACAAACAGTACGCCACTTAAAAGCCTCATTGCAGGATTTGGTCATATATCACCATGTAGAAATAAAACTCAAATGTGGGCCATTCCAGCAGCCTCCCAGTATCATTCTGCTATGACTTAGAAATAAAAGCTACAAATATGCAGTTGACCTGGATGCGAAAAGATCTCTATCCACTCTTCTGAAGGTAATTGAATCTCACTTCCAAAGTTTCCTGAATCCTTATCAATTTCTGAGGATTTATAGCTACCTATTGTTTTTGATGGCAATGGAAAACATATCAAATGTTTACAATCTGAATAAATGTTGACTCTTGAAGCATAATTTATTTTTCTTTAAAGTAAGCCCTATAAAACATTTCAGTTGATTTTATCAATTGATACCTTCTACACCATATCCTGGTAGGAGTGAGACACAATAGAATATTCATCAAATAAGATAATCTTATTTTGCACGTAAGAAAGTAATGTGATGTTACATTGGTATTGTAGCTTCTCCCTCTGAGTAATTCTACTATCTTGTGTATAACCTGAAAGTTTAAAGGAGTTTTTTGTTTGTTTGTTTGTTTGTGTCTGTTTTAACTGTCTTCACTCATTTCAATCCAGCTTATATTCCCTTAGTGCCTATAAAAGCAGGAAAAGGCAGTAGCGTAAAAACAGCCTTGAATCAAAATCAAAACTCTGGTTGGGTGGGGCTCCACCATCAGTGAGCTGTGTGACCTTTGGCAAACTTCTAATGTCCCTGGTTTCTTCAAGGTAAAAATTTAGGCTCACCATCCCTTTTAAAATTAACATACTTTGCAGCTAACCCATACGGTGAGGACGGAACAAATTGTGGAAACTCTCTCCCTTGTACAGCTTTGATTCAATGCCAAATGTAGAAATTATGTGGGAGGAGAGTAGTTTCCATGTTTTAATGGTAAATCTGTGTGTGTACATGAACCATAACACTTACATTCTTTGGCAGAGTGTATTTTTCCAATAAAACGAACAAAGAGTGGGGAAAGATTATCTTTTGGTTTAAAAACATGCTTTAAAAATACTTTAGTTGACATGTAGTTAATTTTTATTTTGATTTCGTAGTTTGTTTTTATTCTAATTGCAAAAAAATAATTAACTATTTACTTTACCTACCCTTTATATAAATTCGACCAAAAGTCGATTAATCAAAACCAGAAATTTCAACATTAGACTCACCAGGCTTTAAAAATTTCTGTGTCCAGACTGTGCCCCAGATCAATTGTATCAAAACCTCTGGGGGTGGGAAGGAAGCATCAGGATGTTTTTAAAACCTCCCTCCTCCCACAGCCTGATTCGTGTTTCCAAAGCACGGTCAATGTTGAGAACAAATGATCTAAATATTGCCACATTTTCTTTGAAAATAACTATGAAATGAAGCTTTCTTAGATCTTCACATAAAAGAAAGCAGCATAAAAAGTCCAACAGCAATGGAGCTAGTTTTGCTGAAGGCAATAGCCAAAATATCACATCATGCATGAGAGAGAAAGAAATAATTACTCGCCTTTTTAAAACCCCAATTAATTTTCCCATTTCACCATAACATAAAAGAGTCTCTAAAATAGCAGCTAACATTATAAATTAATATTGGTAAAGTTAGATGGAAATTCTGATTCCTTTCCCCATAAAGAAACTCAAGAGAACATTAAGCTGTTATCCCATCAGCCTTTGCTCAAGGCCATGACCAAAATGGTATGCTGACCTGTACCAGGCTCTCCACATAGCTGTGCACCTCTCTTACAAGATGCTCCTGAATCCCATATGCTTTGTGGCGCCTCAATAACCTAAGCGAGAAGTAGATCTACCTCCTCTAAGCTTATAAAGCATTTACTCACTGCACAATTCATTTGGCATTTCTTAAATACCACATTGTAACCTTGGCTGTGTGAAAGTGCATCTGTGTGTATGTGTAAGGGAAATTGGAACGGAAGCTCCCATTAGACACTTTTGTGTTGGCCCTCTTCTAGTACATGTTCACACTCCCTGTTTCAATTCATAAAAATGCAAAAACCCCTGAAACTCAAGTTTTTTCAGATTCATTTATTATCAAAACCTGACCTGAAGTCACATGAGATGATTCATAGTCTTTACCTTTGGTATAAACATACATACATATTGCAATAGAATGATTAATATCTTTGGTCATGGGCTGCTGTCCTATCTCCATGTAAACACAGTGAGTGGTGTCTGTGCCTTATTATACATCCCAAATCTTACCATTTCTGATTTGCAAAATACAATCAGCCCCGAATATTTTGAACAAAAGATCATGGATCTATGGTGGATTCAGAGTGGGTAAAATCAGTGCAAGATCCTCTACGGCTTAAGCTAATTGGAGCAAGTCAGTTTTCAACACTTGATTTCTAAGAATCACTTCATGATGGGATGAATTTCAACATCACTCTTAGTACCTTGCACAAGGTTTGTCAAGGAGTATGTTATCAGCAGCTATCTGTCACCTGCTGGATATGTCGTCTTGAGTAATAATCTAAAATAATATGCATATTCATCTTATATTTATTTCTTCCAGGCATAATAACCATAGTTGATTTAAGGATAAAAATATTTTCACAGCTCCTGTGTGTGTCTCTATATTAGTCTGTTCTCACCCTCCTAATAAAGACATACCTGAGACTGGGTAATTTATAAAAGAAAGAGATTTCATTAACTCACAGTTCCACAGGGCTGGGGAGGCTTCAGGAAACTTACAATCATGGCAGAAGGGGAAGAAAACACATCCTTCTTTACATGGCAACAGGAAGGAGAAATGTCGAGCAAAGGAGGGGAAAGCCCCTTATAAAGCCATCAGATCTTGTGAGAACTCATTCACTATCGCTAGAACAGCAGCGTGGGGCAACCACCTTCATGATTCAATTACCTCCCACTGGGTCCTCCCTCCCACAACAAGTGGGGATTATGGGAACTACAATTCAAGATGAGATTTGGGTGGGGACACAGCCAAACCATATCAGTCTGCATCAGAAAATTTCCTCATTCTGTAATTGTCTACACTGTCTAATTGTCTAACATTCTACAACCTGACTCTTCACAGCACCAGCACTTTGTATGCAACAGACACATAGTGTAAATTCCATGCCTTTTGATGAATAAATGAAAGAATGAATAAAATGTTCTTTACACTATGAGTGAGTAAAGAAATATGGTAACCAAGAGTTTTCTTGTTTCTTCTAGATTGTGTCCTTTAGAGCGTAGGTAGCTAGG